CTGAGATGTTCCGTGTAAACTACAGCAAGTTAGAGCAAGCTGATTCTTATACACAAACAGTATAAACTTTTATGAATGTAGCCTGGAGCTATGGTGACAGAACAAGTAGCAATTTTACCTGCAGAGCTGGTGCTGGCGATCCATCCTGGGTTAGGATGTTATCTTAGTCTGTTTTGTGCTATATAAAGAGTACTTGAGGGAACCAGCAGTTAGCGTAATGGCTATGTCGCTGGACTCCCACGTAGTCGACCACGGTTTGTGTCCCGGACCCGGTGGCTTAAAACTCACGCCGGGCGCGTATGCGTGCGTGCCCAAGATCCCGAGAGGAGAATGGAGGAGAAGGGATTGCGGCATGACCATCCCCCCTAGGGGGTGATTTCTCGCTTTCTGGCTCTATGTCTCTCTCTGTCTGTCTGGCGAGCGCACACGCCCTACAGTGAAAATCTCTCAAAAAAAAAAAAAAAGAGTACTTGAGCCTGAGTAATTTTTTTTAAGAATTATTTACTTAATTGTATTGATTTTTTTTTTTTTTTTGCTATAGGCCCTGCATTCTCACCAGAGAGAGAGAGAAAGGGAGAAAGCAAGTTGCCAGGTCTGGAACTCACACTGCCATCAACCATAGAGAAGTCCAGTGCCTTAATCACTACACCACCTGCTGGCTCCAGCCTAAATAATTTCTAAAGAACAGAAACTTTTTTCTCAGCTTCCCAGTTCTGGAGCTGGGAAGTCCAAAATCAAGACGCTGGCATCTGACGAGAATTTTCTTGCTGCGTCCTCCCATGACAGAAGTCAGAAGGGCAAGAAGAGCATCCCCCCACCCCAAGCCCTCTCTACAGCACTATTTATACCTTTGTAAAGGCAATGGCCCTCGTGAACTCAGCACCTCCCAAGAGGCTCCACCTTCCAACACAATGGCACTGGGGATTAAGTTTTCAGCACATGAATTTTGAAACACACATTCAGACATGAACAGGAATTCTACTCAAATAGATGCTTCTCTCTTCTTACAATTCCTGTGTGCAAGCAGACACTCTCCCTCACCATCTGGGTTTACCTAGGGTTTTTCAATTCACTGGGTCCAGGACTCAAGCCACACAGTTGACCATGTGGAATCTAGCACCTTAACCTCTACACTACCTGCTGGCCCAGGGGACAATTTTTTTTTTCTTTTGAGAGGTTTTTGCCATAGGGCACATGCGCTCGCCAGACACAGAGAGACAGAAAGCGGGAAATCACCCCCCAAAGGGGGATGGCCACACTGCAATCCCTTCTCCTCCATTGATGGTCACGCCGCAATTCCTTCTCCTCCATTCTCCCCTCGGGATCTTGGGCACGCACGCACATGCGCCCAGCATGAGTTTTAAGCCACAGGAACCGGGACGTGAACCATGGTCGACTACATGGAAGTCCAGTGACACAGCCACTATGCTAACTGCTGGTCCTGGGACAATTTTTAAAACATCATTGTCCTCAGGGACCAGCAGATAATGTAATGGTTATGTTGCTGGGCTCCCACATAGTCGACCACAGCTCGAGTCCCAGACTGGGTGGCTTAAAACTCATGCCAGGCGCGTGTGCGTGCATGCCCAAAATCTCAGGAGGAGAATGGAGAAGAGGTTGCAACATGGCCATCCTCCCTGGGGGGTGATTTCTCACACTCTGTCTCACTGGTGAGCACACACACCCTATTGCAAAAATCTCTAAAATAATAATAATAATTGTCCTCATATGTTGGCAGTTCTGCCCCTCTTCTGGGGAACAGCACTGTCTTGGAAGAACCACTCCTATCCCATGTGTCTGCTTCTGTTGGACTTTTCAGACAAGACTTACTTACCTAGCTCCAAGTCAGGGGTGGGCACATGACCCAAGAAGACCAATCAGTGTATATGTCTCAGGAATTTGCATCTTGAGCAGAGACATTTGGGGATAGGAAGTATATGCAAATGAGTCTTCTATTCGCAGCATCATAAGAGCCTATTGTGTTTCTGCAGCTAACAAGTTTCCTGGTGCCCCTCCTTCTGAGCCCAGGTTTTTCAGTTTATTCTTTATGTGCTCTACCAATAAATTCCTATTTTTTAAAACCAAATAGAGACAAATTTATTAAGAACAATAACAGGGTTGATCACATAGAACCCGTAGTTCCTATAAGATATTTAGGTGGAGATGTCTAAGAAGTCGTTGGAAACTTAGGTTTGAAACTCAGAAGTGAGACTGGAGTTGGTGGAACAGATTTAAGAGTGCTAGTGAAAGAATGTGAGCCAAGAGGCAAGAACAGGGCAGTGGAGAGCACCATCTGGGACGAGAAAGGAACAGCAGGCACTGCCGTTTGCCCACTGAGGTTGTATCTGGCAAGGCCTGCCATCCTCAGTCCTTCTGGGAACTTGAGGACAGTTTCCTGTGCATATTTACTTACTGGGCATTGTCACATGGTTGCAGTGTGACTGCACATATGTGTGCCTGGTAATTATCACAGAACATACAGATAGTGTAGCCAGGTGACTGAAAAAGAAATTGTACCCAGGACAAGATGTCAGATACAGACAGTATGGACTACGAAGGAGCTTTTGCAACCATGTAAAGCAACACAGCGTCTGTGTCTCGGTGACCTCTCCTACTATCACCATAACAACCCACATTCTATGACGAAGAAATGGAAGCCTCAAGAAATAGCTAGGAAGGCCAGCAAGTGGCATGGTGGTTAAGGTGCTGGACTTCCACATGACCGACCATAGTTTGAGTCCCAGACCTGGTGACTTGCTTTCTCATTTTTCCTCTCTCTCTTTCTCTCTGGTCAAATTAAAGAATAATAAGAAAAAAATAAGAAAATAAAAAACAATTATTTAAAAATATATATAAAGAAAGAGCTAGGGAAGGCCCCAGGTCGAGTGGCACACTCACAGTGTCCATGAGGAACCCAAAGTCAGAGGTTACAAATTGGTGTGCAAGAGGCCCAGTAGTTCTTTACCTTAACCGCGCATTGACATCACCATGGACGACTTCTATTTTATATTTTCAATATTTTGCTATAGGGTGCATGCTCTCTGCCAGAGACAGAGAGAGGGAAAGTGAGAAATCAACCCCAAGAGGGATAGCCCACTGCAATCCCTTCTCTTCCATTCTCCTCTCGGGATTTTGGGCTCACATGCACACGTGCCCGGCACATTGTTCAAGTCATGAGACTCAAACTATACAGTTGGCCATGTGGGATCCAGCGCCTTCACCTGCACCCCACCTGCTGGCCCCAAATCACCTGGAACTTTTAAAAAATACTGACGACTGGTTC